GAAGAAGGAAGGGGGGAGGGAAAGGAGGGGGAGGAAGGGGAAGAGGAAGAAGAGGAACAGGAAGAAGAAAAAAGTATGAACTATACCTAGTGGGAAAAAGAATGCTGGAATGAGACACAAATATTATGCCAGTTAATATCTGTAAGGTAATAAAACTGTCCCCTTAGGGATTATCTTTTTTATCAAAATGAAATCATACCAACTGGACAAAAATAATTTGCAATTTAGCAATCCACTACAAATTAACATCTGATTTTACTGAGTCTGGGACCTCACTAATAATAAATACTAAGTCAAATAAGTTGCCTCCTCCAGAACTTCAAATGATCCTTAAGCAGTCTTGTTAGACAATGGAAAGAACACACAATAATCCTTTTTCCTTATTTCCAAGTTGTGTATAACTTTTCTAAACAGACTGGTTCCAGTTACCTACTGGTGAGTAATCTACTACTCCAAAATTTCGTGGTTTAAAACCACTACCATTTTATTATAGTACCACAATTTTATGGGTCAGGGATTTGGAAAAGGCTCAGCTGAGTGATTCTTCTGTACCACGTGGGACTGAATGAGGTCATTTGATGATGTTCTGTTGGTAGCCGAGCTGATCCAGAGAGTCCAAGACAGCTTCATTCATGTCTGGGGTAGCTGGTAAGCTGGATCCAGCCAGACCCCTCTCCCTCTCTGTGTAGTCTCAGGGCCTTTCCATGTGATCTCTTCAGCAAGGTAAGAGATCTTCCTTTGTGTTTCTTACATGAACTTATGCTGTCAATCTTCTTAAAGACCAGACACAGAAATGGCATCAGCTCCCGCATACTCCACCATAATCCAGTCCAGATCAAGGAATGGTGGAAATAGAACCCACCTGTTGCTGGCAGAACAGTCGATACAAAAAATGATGACTGTATAGAATCTGTAACTATCACAATGGATTATTCACAGCCTCTGGAGAAACGACAGACAATATCAAAGAAAGCACAGTGGCCTTCCCTAACTGATGTCCACCCTCAGCTGTCAAAAGCCTTTTCCATCTACCTGGCATGCAGGAGAGACCTTTCTCCCACTTACCCAAAGGACACTCTCCAGAGACCTCATACGTTAAAGAATGACTTGTGAAAAGAATTTGTACCCCCTTCATCTTAATAATGGGCCTATTACACAGCTGAAAAAAATACATTATTATTTAAAGGGACGCTCATTAATCTCCCTCGAAGACAGCCGTTGCATGAGAAAAACAGGTGATTTTATTGATCATCTCTAAGACACCTTGTTTTCTGTTTCTTTCATTTCTGCTCTTTATTATTTCTTTTCTTCTCCTTTGAGATTATCCTGTATTTCATTTATATTGAGTCTTTCCCAATTTCTTAAACTGCTTTAGCTGTATCCTAAAAGTCTTTAAACATTAATAAATTTATCATTTCGTTCTAAATATTTCCTACTTTCCATTATGTTTTCCTAAATAGTCCATTAGTTAGAGTGGAGTTTTTTTTTTTAATTTCTGATTTCTAACATAATCATCAGCAAACATGACCTGCAACATCAGGAACCAGCAAACTCCTTCCATCAAGGGCCACACAGCAAATATTTCAGGCTTCCCGAGCCAAATGGCCTCCATTTTAAGTACTCAACTCTGCCTTTGTTGCCCTAAAACAGCCAGAGACAATATGTAAATAAATGAGGGTGGCTGTATTCCAACAAAACTTTAACTTACAAAAACAGGCAGCTGGCCAGATTTGGCTGCGGGTCACAGTCTGCCAAACCTTGGTCTATAAGGCATCAATTCGTTGGTCATTGTTTAGACTTGCTGTTACACGAAGTTTTGTAATGTTCCACGCAGGCTTGAAAACTAATTATCATCTTACCCTTGGCCTGCTCCACTTCTTTAAGGTTTAGCCTTGGCCCATGTAAACATCTGCTTTTGTTAAACTGTCACAGTGATTAAGAGATTGGGTTTTGGAATCCAAGAGACCTTGGTCGCCCGCTTCATCTACTTGCCATTGAGCGGATCAGGATAAATTACTTAACGTTTCTAATCCTCAGGTTCCTCATCTACAAAGTAGAGAAAACATTAGTACCTACCTCACAAGGGTGGCGAAAGGCACAGACATTAATCAGCAGTAAAAGTAGTATTAGAATCATCACGCCACTCAACCACTACTCTGTGAAGCAGGTATCATCAAACGCATTTTACGAAGAAATTAAGGCCCAGACATGTTAGATAATTGCCCCAACTCTGAGAGCCAGAGGCAAAGCACTGATTCCCACCCAGAATTTCTATTTCCAAATCCAAAGTTTCCACTACCCAAACTCTGATCGCACTAACACATAAGAAATTTACTCTAGCCTTTCCTAGGCGAGGCTGTATTTTAAGACACCCGGAGAAAGGAGCTGCGAAATGCACAAGAATTAATTCGTCGTGGTGCAAGCTTAGTCCTTAAGGGAAAAGAGTGTTCCGAGCGCTTAAGGGGTATGGGGAGCTGCTGGCGGAGGTTACAAACCACCGGACTTCTGCCATCTGGGTGCTGACACTTCTAAGGGCGTCACCCAGCGGCGCACTCATCCCCGAGGACCCTGCTGCCCACGGCTGGGTCGCCCTTTTTGGCCACTCCACGTGCCTGGAGGGCCTGGGACCTACAAATACTTCTCGGGTTGAACCTCCCGAAAAATGATTTTTTTTTTTTAACGGGCAACCTCATCACTTTGAGACACATAAATCACTGCCCTGACCTGCCGTTGACTCAGAGGGTGACATGCCGCTGAATTCAGCCCCTCTTGGTGACCCGAACTTTTACTTTTTTCCCGCCACTCGGCGCATATTGTATGTCGTGAGGACGCCAAGCAACCCGAAGACCGTGTTGGACGTTGGAAAAATAGCCCAGGAATTTCCATTTCTCCCAGTCCAGGCATAACCTGGGACTCTTCAAAGCCATATCCTGTGACAATCACAAGGGTTTTCTCCGCCCCGTCGGTGACGGAAAACTCGTGACTCGAAACTGAGCGCAGGGCGGGCGTGGAGAAGCCGGGGGCGGAGCTACAAGTCTGGATCGCGAGGAAGCCCCCGACGGGCGGCGCATGCGCAGTCTCTCGCCACGGGACCTCCTTCCCGCCGCTGAGACTAGGAAGCGGGACGCCAAATCTGTCCCCGCGCGGCCGCCGCCGCCGGGCGCCGAGCAGGGCAGCCGCCCTCCCCAAGTCGCGCCTGCGCACGTTCCCACGCAC